GTTTTGTGTTTAATATATTCTCATTGCAGAATTTTGTGTTATATATGTCTAAAGATAATGCACAGTATATATTTATTTTATTATCTCCTCATAAATCATCCCCCTCACCCAGTTTTTTTTTTTTTAGTTGCTACCCTTTTCTGAATTAACTCCAATTTTCTGACATCTTTCCAATAATGAACTATCCAGAAATTATGTGATTTTCATGTTAGGTGCAATAGCAAAGTTTATATTAAGGCAATCAGATCCAAAAAACGTCAGGTAGGAATGATAATTTGGACAAAGGTCCTGAAGTATGCCATGCTGGCCTACTCGGTAGGTCTAACTTCCTCTTAAAAGACTAACTTCACCAAGCGGGTAGAGAAGAAGGAGTAGTGGAGAATGAAAGCAGGTAGAGTGGCTAGGGACATGGAAAAAGTGAAAGAAAGCAAGAATTACTCATGACTAATGCTTTAGCTATTTAAACAATATTTTAATAATAAATGTTCTCTAGATTTTTTTCTTTCTAATCACTAGTACTCTGCAGACAAAATTACTCACATAGGACTTTTACAACTTTTAAATATTAGTATGTGGTCCTTTGTCCATAGCTATTCGAAGTAATTTCCTTTTTGCTGTTTCCTATCTCATACTTTGGACTACCAATCATCTCCTCCCCAACTGTCAGCCTCTTCTTATGACACTTGTATTTTTGTAACAAGCAATTGGTTTTCTCTTTCTTCCATGTTAGTCCATGTGCCAACACCACGCAAGCACACATATGCATGTACATACACTATACTCACACACTTTCTATGTTTGTCCCAATCGCCTCCATTTACACTCCTATTGCCTGCAGTCTCAATTGATCATACCCATGTTTGCAACAGAAAATGCACATCCAAATCTACGCAGCCTCTTTTTCAACAAAAAGGAAACTATGAGTTTGCCTGTTACATTACGACAGCTTTACAAACATCAATTTTTCATCTTATTATATGATTGGATCTCCATTACATATAGTTAAGGAAAAGAAAAATATCTATCCCACAAAATATTCAGTATCCATCTAAATAAGTTAATAAAATTCCATATAGATGAAAACCATATCTGATTTTCCCTACCAGTGCCTGACCAATGTTAGGTGTTTCATAAATGTTTGTTGAATAAATGACTTTAAGATATCTAAGGAAGTCAAGAGAAAATAGTTACTGAGAAACAGGTCACTTTAGTGGTCACTGAGTCCTAATTAGGTCTAGATTAGAATACCATCTACACACTTACCACCACAAGCAAGTTTCTAAACCTTTCTGTGCCTTTGTTTCTGCATCTGTAAAATGGGGTAGCAACAATGCCTACTTCTTACGGCTATTTTGTGGATTACATAAGCTAACACATGAAAGCATTTAAAACTCTGTAAGCATAACATATATCTTTTTTTTAATGGAATTCTCAATCTTCCTTTACTAAAAAAAAAAAAAAAAAAAAAGACTGACTCTTCCATACAATCATTTGCCTAACATTTTTGGAGAAAGATGGTTGGGTCTTTAGAGGTCATTCTCCCCTCAGTTTTCTAACATTTTATGGAAACCACGTTTTTCTTTTAATGAATTGTTTGCTCTGGGCTAAAACGAAGATACAAAGAAGGCAAAATGTAGTGGTAAGTGAACTAATGGAGGAGCACATTTACTGAAGCAAGTGAGCAAATGGACCAGAAAATTATGTAAAGTGTTACAAGATACTCTATTTAGCCTAGTGCATAAAACACCGGGTAAGGAGTTAAAAGATTTAGGTTTGAGGCCCAACCCTGACATTTAGTAACTTGTTTATCTTGCACAGGTTAACCTTTCTAAATATCATTTTTTTCATATGTCCGTATGCTGCAAACCTCATAGGGTTCTGATGGTAGTAAATAAGATAATTAAGTTTAAACATATACATAACAAAAATTTAGTTTTGCATAATAAATTCTTAACACTTTATATAAGGTATACTGGTCTTTTTCTTTCAACTTTCCTATTTAATTGATTCTCCATTTAATCCTGAAACAATACTAAATCTACTTAAATATTGTTCCTAACTCTTTAGACATATTATTTGCCACACTACATTACAAATACTAGAGTTAATAGACTGTAGTTCTGTGAAACCAATTGTTATATTTCTTTACATAAGTCATTCATTTTTAATTAAACCTCTGGTCTGCAAACATATTACTGTACTTCAAAACAGAATGATTTTTGTGGGGTTTGATTTTCTTTGCCATGCATTAAATTGTATCAACTCTTGATGAATAGTACAATCTATTAGAAATAGGAAGGACAAATTGGGAATACAATATAGTAGTTCTGTTCTTGCATCCAACAATTTCACACTCATGAAGTGCCAGGCACTGTACTAGAATCCAGAAACTTAACCATTAGCAAGATCATCTTGATCCTGCCCTATACGGAGTACAATCTAGTAAAGATTTATAATTAAACAAGAATTATGAAAATCTGTAAAAATAAATGCTATGATAAGGCAGTACAGTACATCCTAGGAAGCCGAAAGAAAGATATCCTGGGCTAAAAATTGTAAGAAAGATATCCAGAAGAAGTAACTTCATGCCAAGACCTGAAGACATTAGCGGGGGGAAGCAGAGATTATATGGAAGAATGTGGCACATTTAAAGAAGTAAATTATCCACAGTATTAATAGCATAAAAAATGGGGAAGTAGAGATTATGTGGAAGAGTGTGGCACATTTAAAGAATTAAAACATCTAGAGTTTTAATAGCATAAAAAGTGATGGTGAAACATAAATAGAAAAGCACAAAACACATTGTAGAGCTCCTACAATGTGTGGAACAGGCTCAGGAAGAACAAAAATCCATTGAAATACACTAAACAAGAGCATGGTCTGATCAGATTCATGTTTTCAGAAGCTAGTTTCAGTTGCTTTATAAAACAAGGACTGGTTTAGGAAAGCTTTTTAAAAGTAAGATGGGTTTCAGAGAGATCAACTGGGATTGTACTATTGTATCTCAGGTAGGAAAAAAAATGATAGATTTGACAAGGACATTCGCAGTGGAAAACTTATTTACTTATTTATGGTGGAGAAGTATCTAAGCTTGATGATTCCCTCACTGATTCATTCAGCCATTCATTTAGCCAGCAATAATTAAAATGCTACTTGGTCAGACAATGGGCTGTTGCTGTGTTAATATGCCTCAAACAAGACATGCCTGCCTTCACTTGTCTACAGCCTAATGGAATAACTGGGTAGAAATGACTAGCTTATTATTTGAGGAATAAAATAGATCCTTTCCTCACACCTTTCACCAAAATATCTTTCCATCCTAGTGGAAATGTCTAACAATCACTGGATAAGTGACCCTAGAATTCAGAAGAGAGGTCTGGGACTGATACACAGAATAGGGAGACCTCAGCACATGGATAACAATTGAAGATGATTCTAGGAAGAGAGGGCACAGTGATATGAGAAGAGGAAACAAGGCATGGGAGAAAGGAATGCCAAAATTTAAGGGAGGGCGGAAAACCAGCCTTTGAAGAAAGGTGAGAAGTCACAGCCAGAAATAAAAAGGAGACTGTGGTGTCCTAGAAGCCAGAGAAAAAGCGTTTCAAAAAGGAGAGTGTGTTTAACAGTGTCAAATGTACCTGAGAAGTCAAAAGTGAGAATTTCTACTGTATTGGACTTACTGGAATATAAGCCACTTTGACTATGTGGAAAAGAATTTCCATGAAATGACAGATGGGGTATGATTTTCATTGGATAGAAGTTAAGACAGTTTTCCCTATATTTTATATATTAATATCATACATTATCAATTTATAATGTCAGAAAAAGATAATTGACACAAACATTTTAACTACATGGTTGTTTCCACAACTGCATTCTATCCCAGATGTGTTCTACTTTGTCTGTGTCCAATATGAAAAACGGGACGTAAAACTGAACAGGATTTTAGTTAAAATCTTACCTTCCTGGATTATGGTAGAACCATTACTTCCTTAATCTATAATGTACTTTATTAGACACTGATATGCCCAGAAATCCAATTAGCTTCTGGGGCAAGGGCAGGTAGTTCATGGGTAGGCATATCTCATTGATAACTCATAAGGAGTTTGTTGTATTTTTATTTTATTTTATTTTATTTTATTTTTATTTTTTAGGTGAGGCAACCCTTGGTTGACCTCACAGATTGCAAGGACCTTGTCATCTTACAATCCTTTATTTTATTTTTTATGCCTACAGCACTTGGTCTTCCTAGGTGGTCTCCCATCCACCTAGTACTAACTAGGCCCAACTCTGCTTAGCTTCTGAGGTCAGACAGGATAGGACTTGTTCAGAGTAGCATGGCCATAGGTCGTTGCATTGTTATTGACTAAATATTTTGTACATTTATGCTCTTTTCTTAAGTCTCTTCACTTGCAAGTTTTTATTTTTCTCCCAATTAAATATTTTTATTACAGATTGAACCTATTGTTCAACCTAAGACCTTTTTGGAGAAATAACCCATTTGTTTAACAAATGCAGTAATTTTTCATATGTTAAGCAACGATAAATTTTTTTGTGGAGTGTACTTTCTATCCTACCTTCACATTACCTCTGAAAGTGATTAGCATGCCATTTACTGTTTTCATCCAAATCATTAACGAAGGTATTGACCAAGGATGACCAAGGATAGAGCCCATACACACCATCAAGGATCACCCTTCAGATAGACATCAATCCATTAATGGGATATAATCAATCAATAAGTTACTAACATGCTTCCTTATGCTATCATATAAGCTACATGTCTCCAGAATGACCAACAATTTAGCATCAGACACTCTCAAATGTCTTGCTGGACATTCACTTAGTTACAATAATGCTATGTTTCTTTGACCTGTCTAGTGAACACAGCAAAAAATAGTAACAATCATAACATTTCAATAGGATTTGACCCAAGCTAATTTATAATATTTATCACTTTATTTTCTGTCTATTCATGAATTTATTTATTTATTTATTTTTAAAGTATGAAATGCCTCACAAGTTTGCATGTCATCCTTGCTCAAGGGCTATGCTAATCTTCTCAGTATCGTTCCAATTTTGGTATATGTGTTGCTGAAGCAAGCACCATGAATTATTTTAAATAATATAGTATAGAACATCTTAAGGTTAAAAATGTAGACCACTAGCCTAGAGTTGATAGAGTTGCCTTTCTCACTTTGAAAAATAGTAAAAAAAAAAAAAAAAAAAGGAACTCGTATCTTCCATTGTTTCTGTTTTCTACAATTATCCTATCAGTGTTCTGAGATTTAATTCATCCAGATCAGGAAACATAAACACATTTCGATTGTCTACTTGCTTACAAAATATGTTTAATATTTTAGGCTTAAATTTATTTCTAAAAAAAGAAGAATGAACTTGATGGTCACTCCATCTTCTCTCTGCAATGGTACTTTATATTAGAGTTCCCTGGAAGTACCTATTATCTTTATTCTGAGGTCGAAATCTTTTTTTCTACAATTCATTTAGAAAAACTGAAATAATTTTACATTAATATGCACTTGAATTCTGTTTCAGATATTTGTTCTAAGTTACTTCTGTTTTAGAACAATTTTTATTATTGTCAGAAATAACTTGAATATCCTTGATGATGGACTTATTGGGAAGACTACATTATCTATTATTCAGTAGGTTTACTTGAGTTTCTCAAAACCATTGCTCTGGATAATTAATAAATAAATCTGCCAATAAAATAATTCACGTGGAACTGACAACAAAGAAAATATATCTATTTGCCAAAATTTTCAAGCAGGAGCATTGTTAATAGAGATTATTATTTTCTTTTTTATTATATGATGCTTAGGCTTAGGATCCAAGTTACCTGATCCATCAAAAAAAAAAAAAAAACTTCTTTTCTGCTAGAGTCTTCATAAGAGGACAGAGTGTAACATTGTTAAAAAGTAGTTCATCGCTTGTTATGGCAATACACCTTTGAAGGGCATGGAAATTATTTTAATTGGATAAATTAGATGTTCTTTGTGTCCATATGGAGTGTTGAATTTAATGATTTGGTTGAATGGATGTCAGTGTTTCTGTTCAATCTTTCAATTAAACTAATATTAATCTTACATTTTCTAAAGAAAGCTTAATAGCACAAGATAACTATATCTCTGAGACATACAGTAAGGTCACTGGTTATAAATGAGCCCACATTGTTTTTCTGAATAATTCTCTAGCTGAGAAAGAAGCTGTGGAAATTGTAGCTATACTAGCTTTTCTCCCTTTCAATCTCTCTTGACCAGCACTAAAAGATCTATTTCTCTCTTTTGTCACATTGTTATACCTGAGACTCAGTCACACTACTTCATAAGGATCATTTGTAAAATCATCTGTTAATTTCTCGTTTTGTCTGTTTTAACTCACAAAAATCAAGATAGTCTTTCAATCAATGGTTTTATATTTCTGGAAGGTCTATTGTAAATGAGAATGCCTCTATTTGTCTTTCAAAACTAATTTCATGTAATTTATACAAAGTTTTAATCACATATCATCACACTAAGAAATGGACTGGGCATAAGTTTTCTTTAAAAATTGTATGATGATATAGTTATAAAATACTGAAATCATTTTACATTGCTCATAAAATTGCAAAATTTTGAGAGTGCTTCAATTTGAAAATGATTGGGGTTCTAGGAACACAATTCAGAGGCTGTAAAATTACAAGGACACTTCACCACTTCTGTTAGCATTTCTATTCAGAGGTGATCAACCAACACGACTCACTGAGCAATTTGCCGGGTATTTGTAGGAAAGCCTTGTTCTTAAAAATACAAAGAAACTCCAATAATTTTAAATTGAAGTATATACCATACATTCCCTGAAATCCAATTCATTCTTTAAATAAAAACATTACAACTTTTAAAATATAAAAGTCCTACTCACAACAGAACAACAATCTATCCCTTCCAATTCGAATGTCAAATCACACTAGCTGTAATTTCTCTCAACCTGGCATTTTCTGACGTGAGGAATTGTTCTGGTCAGCAAAGAAGATTACTTATTTCTTTTAAACTCCTGGGGTTATTACTCTAAAATTATCTCTGAATTTCTTTCCAAACATCCTGTGACCTTTGGAAGCCATTCTGAATTTAGATGAATTATGTATACTTGTGTATAAACATACAAACCTCTGTCTTCTCAAAAGCTATATTTGGAAATAAAGCTAAGTGTTCAAAAAAATGTATATAATTCCTCTGAGTCTAATTATATACCTATAAAACAAAGGGAATAGTGTCTATCTTAAAAGCCTATTGTGTAGTTTAGATGGGTAAACAGCCTACTACATTGCCTGATATGTCATAGATGTACAAAGTCACTATTTTGCTATAATCATCATTATCATTTAAATAATCATCGTCAACTTGAAGTTCCATGTTATATAAGAATCATTTGATTCCAACTATAGCCCTAACACAGACTATCATCTTGAGCAGATTACTCACATTTTAAGGTCTCATCATAAAATATTAACAATGATTATATCTGGATTGTGGATATTTTTTTCTATTTCAATTTTTTTCTCAACTACATTATCTGATTTTTATATTGAAAAGACATTACTTATATAAAATGAGAACAAATACCATGTATTATATCGCCAAGCATACTTGGCACTTGCATATTTACAATGACTTCATTTATAGGCAGTGGAGAGATAACTGTATGGTGTTCCTAGGGAACTGAAAACAAAAGTCAGCATCTAAAGAGATGCGGAAGTTACATGAGCTACAGATGATAAATACATGTTATGAAACACCTCATGAGTCACAAATCCCAGACCAATGAGAGTTGGAAGGGAGGCCTCTCATCTCTAAGTTCCTCACTGTTAAATCTCTAGTGTTGAGAACAGAAAATATTGAGGCACAGATGGTATTCAAACACATTTGTTGAATGAATGGCCTGAATAAGAAAGTAAAAGTGGACTAGAGTGAAACTTGGGTCGAGATGTCTAAGCCACATCTTTTGATCCTAATTCCCTTTTCTTTAAATCTGAGAGTCCAATTAATCCTAAAAGCTTTATGGACAAGTAACTAGAACTGAAAAAGAAAAAGGTGGTCATGACTGGATCACACATTCAATAGAAGTGGAAGAGATTACACAAGAAGTTAGAATCAAGGAACCTGGCTTAAGCCTCTTGATTTAAGTCATGTTCACCAATCCAATTTCCCCTGTAAGTGGGGATTATCAGGCACATGTACAGTAATTAATAAATTGTTCCTTTGTTCCCCATTGCACTATTGTTTGTTAACAGATTAGCTTCTCTGAAAGGAAACCCAGAGGAAAGATGGAGTTACTGGCCAGCCTTGAACTCCAAAAGGTATTTTAAAAGCACCAAGGATGGCATCCAGGTTAGGAGTGGAATAATTATCTTAAAAAATCTCAAGTGAATCAAGACGGACTTTAAAAGTGAGTAAGAGTGCGCAGGTAAGGAGAAAGAGAAAGGCTTTCCTGCAAAAGGAACCTTGACAAAGTGACAGAGACAAAGCATCATGTGAGTAGAGAAACAATGTGCAGCACTAGAATTCTAAAGAATAATTTATAAGACAGAGAGGGATAAGAAATAAGACCAGCGAGGCTGGCAGGAGTCAAATCATGAAGAGCTTTGAATGCCAAGCAAATGAGCTTAGATTCTACTCTATGAACAAAGAAAAATCATTAGATAAGTCTAAAAAGAGAAAGGACACCAGCAGTTAGGTAGGAAATAGATAAAGCTAAAAACAGGGATATCAGTTTGGAGGCTATAATAGTTGAAGAGGAGAAAATTGACTAAATTTGAATAGTAAGATATAAAAATTGATGATTGCCTCAATATAGATTTAAACACATTTTGACAATTTTGAAGTACTATTCCTTTTAATCCAAAGGGGAACTGAAAAGACATGATTCTAAACATTTAGAATCACAGAAGAATGTGATTTCATGGAGTTTACTAAACTACATTGCCATTGGCAGCATAGAGGCTAAAAGTTGGAGAAACTCTGAATTTGGGACTTTCTGCTCTACTAGAAACTAGGAATTTCAATGAGGTGGAGCCACATGACCACAATGCTAAGGCACATCACTGAAAACAGAGATGGGGTATCCAATACAACCATGAAGAGTTCTAATAATTGCTGCTCCATATTTTCATCAAATGACAAAATGTAATAGACATTCCAATTGGTGGCATAATGATGACATCATCTGATTTTTCTATCCATTCTTTTATTCCTTTGTATTTGAAATGTCTGTGGAAAAACACTGGCATGCTAGGGATCAATTTAAGGGCATGGATGTTTGTATGAGGAACAGAAAACTTGAAAGAATCAGTATATTTCTATGGATTGACAGATCTGAGTGCAAAATCCAGTTTAACTATTTATTTAGTCAGAGCTAAATTTATATAAAACTGCTAACATGCCTCTGAAGATCATAACCAATATCGCATTTCTTCTTTTCCTATGTAGAAGTCTGGATGTATTTGTGAATTTGTTTTGTTTTGTCATGCCTTGATAAACAAAAATTGACTCTATTGTCCTAGGCATATTGCCTAAACCTCACCTCTCTTAAGAATATTTTCTTGTTTAAAAAAGTGAATTAAAATTAAACATTCATAAATAGTTCAACTCATGAAAGTAAATGAGATTTTTAAATAAAACCATTTGAGTAAATTAACTCTTTAATTTTTAAATTGAAATTTCATAACAATGTATATACTATTTGAACTTCAGAATTTATCACAAGAAGGCAAAGACTTTAGAAGATAATATAATTTCCAAAAGCTGATGTAGGTTAAAATTCATAGTGTCTGATAGAAAGTTCCAAGTCCAGAATTTCTCTGCATGTATATTAATTGTTAAATTTAGAATTTATATTTCTAAAATAAGTGGAATGTTTTATACAGGTATTAAATGCAAAGTTATATCACAAATAGGATTATCATTTTATGCAAGATTCACAACCTCTAAAATTTCCAGTATTTCTCAACTGCTTAAAAAAAAACACAAAATTATTTTAAACACATATAAATTGGTAGCAAACTGCTAACTGAAGACGACTGACTAAAACTCTTAAAATAATAAACATTTA